CCGGGGGGGGGGAGCCCCCGTCTGCCTCCCTGCCTGCCTGTGTGGATGCTGCGGCAGCCCCCACCCTGAGCCTGATGCTGTCCTGTTCTCCTGGGACAGATCCTGGATCAGTGGTTTGAGTCAGAGCCCCTGAAGGCGACTCTGGCTACTGACGCAGTGATTGGAGCCATGGCCAGCCCCCACACCCCTGGCAGTGGGTAAGGGTCCCATCCCCCCAGGGCTCATGGCCACATGGTCCCCTCATGCCATCTTCTGTGCCAGCAGCTCCTCGGCTGTGCTGTGCCTCAGCACCCCGTGCCCTGCCCTGCTGCCTCCCCCTCCCACCACCCGCTCAGCCTTGCTAGGGTGGCCTAGGCGCTGGGACTGCGCAAGGGGCTGCCCACCATCCCTGCCATGTGGCTCCCCTGAGTGGTCCCCACTGCCCCTTTGCTGTTTGGACAGCTCTGTCCCCCAGTCAGGTCAAGCCCTGCCCGGTGGGTGCTCCCTGTTACTGGGCTGGCATCCTACCAGCTGGCATGGTCCCATCTATGGAGGCCAGGCACCATCCTCACCATGTCCATGCAGGGGACAGACCCATCCCCTTGGCAAGCAGCTAACCTGGGTTCCTGCCACCGCAGGTACGTGCTGTTGCACCACGTGATGGGCGAGCTGCAGGGACGGCGGGGGGCCTGGGGCTGCGGGGCCATGGGAGCTCTGTCCCAAGCCATCGCCCGTGCAGCAGCTGCCCAAGGAGCCCACATCTTTGCTGAGAAGGTACGGGATGTCTGAGCACGGGGAGCTGCGTGGCCGGCCTGCGGGCAGCGGGGATGCTCTTGGTGAGGTCCTGTCCCCTCCGCCTGTCCAGGCTGTGTGCCACGTGCTGCTGGGCAGGGACGGGAGGGCACAGGGCATCGCGCTGCAGGATGGGACAGAGGTGAGGAGCAAACTGGTGCTGTCCAATGCCTCCCCTCAGATCACCTTCCTGGAGCTCACTCCCCAGGTACGGGGCGCACGGGGCTGGCAGGGGCTTGGTGTGGTGGCATCTCCCTGGCTGGGCTGCCCTGCTCACCACTGGGCTCTGCTCCAACCTCTTCCACCCCAGGAGCAGCTGCCAAAGGATTTTGTCCAGCGGATCCGGCAGGTTGACACATGCTCCCCCGTCACCAAGATCAATGGTAGGTACTGGTGG